ATAGGGGAATGATATCCTACATAACATAAAAAAAATTTGGTTCACTTGTTCATGAGATTAAAAAGTTAATAAGATAAACAAGCTTTAGTATAATGATTATAAAATACTTAATATTATCCATTTCCTACAGTCAGAATATGGTTAATGAAATGTCTCATTAGTTTCAAATTAATAACACTCTCTGGACTAAGCGATTTGTCTTAGAAGACATAAATTTATATTATAGTATTTAATAAATATTAAGACAGATCTCTTATAAAATAAACAAGGCAAATAATAGTAAAATTTAATTTCTATTTTATTTTTTAAAAGACAGATGAGCCACAGTTAATCAAATGTTATATGAAGAATGTGATATATTTAATATTATTCTAGTAGGTATTTAATTATGGTGTTTTTTGTTTGTTTGTTTTTTTTTTAATAGAAAAACCATCTTTATTTATATTATAGCCTTATTATTTTTTTGTTTTAAAGGGTGGAAAACTTTAATGGCTATCATCACCCGTTCTCAGTAATTTTCTGTGATTACTTTTTTATATCATACAGTAAAGTCCTTTTTTTTATGATCTTACATATTTTATGAAGTTATGACTTTGTTAATTCTGATATTCACTTAGTGCCTTGGCAAGATTGAGGAATGTCTAAACTGACCATTTTTCTACTGTACTTAGACAGTCCTAGATTAAATGGCTTAGTGTTAGTATCCTTTCCCAATCCTGACTCTTTGGAGCTGACTTTGGCCATCAGATAGCATGGGTGATATGGCTGTGTCATATTAAGAGATGAGTTCTGAAAACCACAACTCTTTTACAGTAGGTTTAATCAATAAAAGTTTATCTGGCACATGTTTGTCCCACAGAGTTCGTCATTTATTTTATATGATTTCTCCTATAGGCTAAAAAATTTCTTTGGTTGAAAGATAGGAACATTTGTGCTTCTGTTGCGATTCTACCTGCCAAACCATTCCTCATCATGCCAATATGACGAGGAAACTAATAAGAAAATTATCATTCTGCTTAAAGTTTTCAGATAGTGGAAAATACTGTACTTTCTCTGACAAGAAGTTTTTGTGAGTTGGATTTAATGATACTTAGAGAATCCAAAAAAAACAGTTGTATCTTCCATGCTTGACATTCTTAACTAGTGTTTTTAGAATAGCTGTCAGTTCAGTTGATATTTAATTAAAAAAATTCAAAATAGTTAATTAATAAAAAATATTCATAAATGTTAGTATGTTTTTGAATACAACCAATATTTAATTTAAAAAAAAAAACTAAAAAACTTACAGATAATAAATCAAAGAAGAATACTACACTCTCCATGTCATTGTCATTTAAACTTTTCTCAAGCCTAGGTAAAACATGGCCTGGGAAAAACAAATTTCCTTCAATAAGTCCCAAAGCACATAATTTCTGAACCTGTTAAAATAATATATTAATTTTTGAAAAAGCAATAATTAAAATAGTAGTCAGAGGGATGGTCAAATAAAAAAGAAAAAAACAGTAGGAAAAATTAAAACCAAATTGGACAAAGTCGAGGACACCTTGCAAAAGATAGGTATCTAAAGATGGTGAATGCTCAACCAGGAAAGAGGAGAGGCTCAGGTTCCAGCAGGAGTGTAAGTATCAGGTTCACACAAATAAACAAATCTACATATTAATATTAATATATAAAGGAGAGCAGAATAGCTCAGTGAGTTAGGCACTGGGCTGCTAAGCTCAAGGTCTCGGGTTCGAATTCGGCTGATGTCATCATTTTTCATCAGCTCTGGATTAATTGTGGGATCATGAAATCCTCCTGAGACACACGCCGCCTCAATAAAGTGAGTTAAAGTTAAATAATTATTTAAGGGAAAAAACCTGAAGATTGAGTGTGATCCTTGCCTGATCACCTCTCTGCACAACCATTGGCCTTGAAACAGTACTTTCTAACAAAGTGCTGAATCCAAAATTTTCATGGGTTATAGTGGTACAGATTTTTTTTTATATGTATAAAAACCTTAGAAGAAATAAATGCATCTCAGGATAGCAGTAGAAAAAAATGTAGAACAGACATATGAAATAGAAATAAAAAAACAAATTGTATCTATTATTTGATATTATTAACAGGAAAGGAAAGGATTAATAAAATATAATTACAAATCTATAATACCATATGGTAAAGAAGTAAGAATTTGGTTCCCTTGTAGGAGGTGAATACCTCTGCATCTGCATGATATGATGATGCATCAGGGATGAATATAAAAAACAAATAGATCTAAGAAAATGTTTAAAGGCAACAAAACTACTTGATATCCTGTGGATAAAATTAATCAAATGATTGACATTTAAGACACAAAGATGCCCCGAGAAAACATGGAATAACACACTCTGATCAGAGATTAGGAGGAAGTAGCTGAATGATATGAAGAAACTGAAGGAATGGGGAATTAGATCATTTGTTTTGCTTACCAATTGAAGAAAATTATCTCTTTTTTTTTCCAAAGATGAAGTTACGGTATCCATGAGGTGTATAGTTGCACCCAAGGTCAAGTTGAGCGTTGATGCTGAACAGCATACATTAGCTAAAGGAGTAATGTGTGTTAACAAATCTAGAAGAAGATCAGTCTTCAAATCACTGCTTAAACATTCTTTCAAAACTGTCTGCATGAAAACTTCACAGTTTTCAAAACAGAATATCACGAAATCACTATACATCTGGCACAGATAATATAAAAATTAGAATAAAATGCAATAAATTTGTGCAAAACATAACTGTTGAAAAAATAATGTACCTCGTCCTTGTTGCCATTTACTGGTGAGATTTTATTCAATGCAACAATAAGGGATCCTTCAAAGTGTTCTCTTTGAAGTACATTACTATTACCTTTAACTTTAAAATAATATGATAAAAGATCTAACTGAGCAGACAATGACATTTTTTTAACACAGTGAAAAAACAATTCTTTAGCAACTTCAAAAAAATCTCTGGGACACTGAGAAGTTGTTAAAAATTCACACAGATTATCTAACAGTACTGTTGCTATTTCAAGATCAAAAAGATGTGCATTATCTTGAATTACTTTCATGTATTTAGAACTTTGAAAAATTCCTGGAACACACATTAAACCTTTCAACCATTTCGATTGGGTTCGTTTAGGATTCAACAAGTTTAGAATAATCGTTTCTGCATCTGCTTTTCTTATTTCATCATCTTCAGTTATTGGCTGAATAGCAATATTACTTAAAGATGTGTCTAAAACTTTTAAGTTACTAATATCATCATTCATGTGTTTTATGGAATTTATTTCTTCTCTGCAAAGAAATGCTTCTTCTCTAACAGCAGTTTGAAGGGTCTTATCAACTAAATCTTTAATATCCACCTCACACCATGACATATATATATCAACACTAATGCACATTACTGATTCAGCACATTTAGAAACTAACAAACTTAAACAGTGATTAGTCCAATTTATTTCTCTTTTACATTCACCCCATTTACTATAATCATACTCCACAGAAAAATCATATATTTCAATAGGATCTTCCGTGTTTAATTTAATTTTCCTAATACAATTTTTTAATACTGATAACAACATTTTAATAAAATATCCGAAGTAAATATGTTTTTTTTCAATATCCCATGGCAAATCAGCAAGAAACTGATTGACATTGTAAGATATAATATCTTGGAAAAGTTTAACAAATTTCTGTATGACAATGGCCAGAAACTTGGAATTTTGTAAACTTGCTATTTTGCAAAATGTACTTTCATATAATGATTCTAAAAATTCAACAGATTTATCAGGATTCAAATACTTCAAATGTTCACTCATCACTTGCAACAATTCACATCCTAAAAATTCGGGGCCTAATCTAATTACTTCTCCTAAAAATACACCGAACTGAAGCTCTGATGATATTTTGAAATAAAGATAGCTACTAAGTTTGGGGAGGCAGCCAAGTAAATGCCAAAAATTCGAGTCGTCTTCTAAGATAGGTATAGATGGCAAATCAGTATTAATTATAAATAATAAGTTAATTTTTCTAAGATGTTCATCTTTTAAACTCAACTCCATAATTAATAATTTAATCGATTCTACAATTTTTTGAGATATTTTGTCATTATCTGTAAAGAAAACAATAGAGGTTAATACCAATAAATTATAACAAAATAAATTAATATAATATAGTTCCCAGACCTTTGGATATTGCATTGAATTTTATGACTGAACCATTTTGGTGACTCCTCAAAATTCCCTGTATGGCAGTAAATAACTGATCAAATTCCATGGTTTTAAAACATACAAAATTAAAACGTAATCTGTGACCAGCAATCCCTCTTCTTATTTGTAACCTTTTTCATAAGTAGCTGGTTTCCCCGCCAAATTAAAAAAAGAGGGGATTATTATTTTTAACGAGTTTTTGTTGAAAATTGGCAATATATATAAATAAAAAAATAATGAAAGTTAAAAACATATAATATGTAGTTAAGAGTATAGCTAATTCTATTAAATAAATTACTTAACTGATTTTAAAGATTAAAATGGTTCTGTGGTCTTATCAAACCATGTTATCTGTAGAAGGTTACAATAATGATGGAAACGAGATCCAGATTTTTTTTTTTAATTTGATATTTTAATTTTTTCTATGCTGTATTCAATTAATGTTTTTATAATATGACTATTATGGTATAGGCAATAATATTATATGAGTGATATAAACAGTATTCATAATAAAGCTATTTTACTAAAATGAACAAGGCTTTAATTTCTTGAAAAAACCGCTGAATAGTAATAAGTTATTAACATTTTTGCATTAATAACAAGAGTATTAATGTGGACATCTAAATAAATTTATCTATTGTTGGGTTTCCTTGAAATTCCTTTCTTGAATCCTTACATGCATAACTCAAGCATTTCTGACTGATAAGCTGAACAATAACCTACTTAACAGAGAAAGTAGTGGGTCTATATTACTGAGAAAGAAATATTCTATGGTGTTTCATTTGTATTTAAAATGATTGTAGTTACTTGTTTAGCACCAGTAAATATTGCTGTAATTAAGTATTGTGAGTTTTTCTATACTTAGGTGTTGCAGTTCACAGTATCCAACTTTAAAACATATCCTAATTCTATTTATTTATTTTTGTTATGTGCATTTCTATTTACAGGGGGGAAGCGGGATGAACAGTTGATTTTACCTATTAATGATTCTATTAGTGCTACCTTAAGTACAGATCAGGTAAAAGAGTAGAATCTCTATTTTTTTTTTATTATCAAATGTTTTATACAATTTATTTACTTTTACAATTATGATTCTGCTATGATCTTCCATTTACTTTTTAATATAAAGATTATTATTCATAGGGACTATAATTAAATATATATTTTATAGTAATTTATCATTTTTCTACTATGAGTTGATTTATTTATAGTAAATAATATAGTTAATAATATTTAACATTGCAAAATAAATAGGGTTATTATTTGTCCAATAGATGAATGCAAAGACAACAGTCATGATAAGCCCAAATTTTGAAAAAGATCTTTTATGGCTAAATGGAAAGTAAGTCACATCAGAAATAATTTCCACTTCAGCAGCTATTCCATGGATGATTAAATCTTGTTTTGTTTTTTTTGTTGTTTTTTTTTAGAGAAGAATCTTGTATGAGTCCTCGAGTACAAGTTTGTTTAAAAGAAAGTTTGTATAAATTATAATAATGATTGAAAATTCTTATTTTATTCATTGTGATATTTTTTCTTTCTTTATGCATGTTGTTTTGCAGTACGAAAAAGAGCTTCTGAAAACCTGAAAGGAAAAAAAAATAATCAAGGGATCGATCTTTGGAAAGCTCATATTTGTTCTGAAAATAATTTTCCTACTGCTGCTGGTTTGGCTTCATCTTCTGCTGGTTATGCGTGCTTAGGTATGTAAAAGTCTGCATTGTTGGAGAGGTATTAATAATTTTCTTGTTATTGCAGACTGCTTGATAATTTAAACGTAATGTCTAGCTAATTATTGACTAAAAACATATTTAGCTGATACATTTCTAACATATTCTCTACTAAAGCCAAAACACCTCCACCACCATCTTTAGCTGTAAAAACCCTTTTTAAAGGTCTTTTTTTTATAATATATTATATTTATGTGATATTTTTCTTGATAAATGTCACCTCATCCTTAAACTCACATATGCACAGCATACTTATCAATCTGTATAAGATATAATACAAATCTAATCTCATTAAAATGTATGAATGAGCTTAAAAAATAGTAATCAGTTATTGGATCAAGGTGAAGTATTGGTTGTTAATTTTTTATTGTTTTACTAGTTCAGAAATAAGCTGTGTTGAAGTTTATCAACCTTCTTTAATCTGAGTAGATTAATCACTCTATTAAGAAACACATTTAAATTTGTGAGCTTTGGGGTGCAATTCTGGTCTCAATATTTGCCTTTTTAATCAATTAAATGATTTTGAATTAAAAAAAAAAAATCAGGTGGTGCTTGTAGCATATAACTTTCACTTATCATTCTACTTGGTATATAAATAGGTATTTTCATACGAGAAAGTAAAAATTATTAATGCTATGACATATCATTTAAAACAATTAAATAACTAATGTTTTTTCCATCTAACTAATCTTTTAAATTTATTTGTTTTTTGTCCATTTCCATTTTCTTTCCATGACTGTATATAATAACTATTAATATTAATGAAAGAAAATCTTTTGGAAAATTTTTGAGCTTTATGCTGAACATGTTGCTATAAAGAGTTAATATTAGTAGATATTATATATTGGTAGATCCTCAACATTTTGCATGAAAATATTTTTTGAAATTATGTGCTAGTGAAATATAGCAGTTAAACTACCAATAAATAAAGTAGGAAATCTGTGTACTGAGTAGTTTAAATTGAGGAGGATCGGGAAAGATTGGGCATTCATGGCTGTTCGATTTTCCAGTTTCTATCTCAAGACCTAGATTCTCAGTCCCATCTGACTAGACCTTATTCCTCCTTTTGTTAGTTATCAAATTCTTTCATAGTTTATATTTAACCATTTATATTACTAATTACAATGTGAAATGGTTAATTATTTTAAATGTATTATATGCTCATCTAACAGATTAAACAACTATTGGATGATTTTCAAACTATGATCTCTAAATTGAAGAGAAGAATGGTTGGCGTGATCAGTAAAAAAAAATTAGTAAAAACAAATAATTATATTTATTTTTATTTTTGCTGACGTTTCGGCCCAAACCAAAAATAAAACAAAACCAAGACCAAGTCTTCACTTGAACAGCTCTGATGAAGGCATGAACTTTGGGCCAAAATTTCGGCCAAAATAAATATAACTATTTATTTTTACTAATTTTTTTACTGATCATCCCAACCATTTTTCTCTTTAATTATTCACTACAGTCAACCATCAATCCACAATTATGATCTCTAAAGATTGACAAAAGTCTATTCATTAATTTTTTTATAAGCTTTTAAACTTTTTAACTAAAACAAAACTTTTTAACTTAAACTTTTTTATTACATCACACTGTTGTCTAATAACATTTGAATTGTTACCTTTCTGCAGACTTCGCTGTAATCAAAAGTTATTCTGTTTTGTATTGTTCTCTTATTGTTAAACATAACACATGACAAGTTGTTGATAAACATTTGTAAGTATAACAGAACATAACGTACCATTTACAAAAAAATGTGTAACATAACATTTTTAAAAGTGTGAAAAATCACATAATGAAAGAAAGATTACAATACGAGTAGATCTTTTAGCAACATGAGCCAAACTATGTCATGTTATTAATTATACTATTGTATGTCATCATTGCTACAATGAGGTTTAAATTTTTAGTTCATCATTCGTCATATATTAATCAATTTTCATTAAATATCAGGCTATCCTTATAGAATTATCAGTAGTTAGCAGAGTAGCCTGATATCAGTGCTGAGAGGTGATGCTGTGGCAGTCACCGTGTTACCTGACTTGGAGTATCAATGTTCAATTTAAAAAATGTGGTGCGGGCAACACACAACTTTAATTTACTCTTTGAATTTTGCTCAACTTTGAATATAAATTATTTTCTGGCCATGTTGGGCTATTATAAATTTTTTTAATTGCATTTTTAACTGAGCTAAAGCTAAAAGATTGCAGCTAACAAATCATAAATACTATTAAAACAACAAAAGTCCTATTTATTATATCACCAGTTGATTATGGATAGTACGATTCGTTGATTATGGATTGTTCGATCCGTTGATTATGGATTGTATGACTATTAGTTATCAAACCGTAATTTTCCATTGCAAAGTTTATTAAAACGGAATTAAGATATTTGCATTGTCTGTCATAGATAGGTCAAAAGTTGTTACACTACGTTAAATATTATCAATTTTCAAAAATTATTATTTATAATTTTTTCGCTGTTCTCCTTTACCTTCAACAACTTCAATATTAGATATTGTTTTTTTCAGTTACTAATTCCATTATTATATTTTTTTTTTTCTGTGAGTAATTTAAGCTAAATACTTATAATATGTAACATATATGGATAAGAACATGAGTTAATTATAAACTCTGAGGCGGTCTGTTTTTTTTTTTTAAACAATAACTTCTTTTTAATTATTTGCATTTCTTTTGTGGATTTGTCACAAATTTTAATGTAGCTGTTGTGAGTTCATTTTAAAAAATCATGCATTTATTTGCTTTGTTATTTTTTCTTTTACAGTCACAGCATTAGCTAAAGCTTACAATGTAGAAGGAGATTGTTCATCTATTGCAAGACTAGGGTCAGGTTCAGCGTGTAGGTCAGTTTTTGGAGGTTTTGTTAGGTGGCATAAAGGTAACCAAGGAGATGGTTCTGATTCAATTGCTACCCAGATTGTCCCAGCATCACATTGGCCTTCCATCAGGATACTTATTCTAGTGGTAATTTAATATAATTAATAGTTGAATTACTCTAAATTATTGAGAGATAATAGCAATGCTAAGTTTATCCTAATACTTGAAGCAAAATAAATGTTTGGGTTTTAGAGTGTCTAAACTTTAAATCTGGCCTGAGTAACCATAAAAATATAGTTTTTGAATATTTATATATTTTCATCCTATGTATCAGATGATGCAAAATAAGAGATATACAAAATTAATATTGCCTAAAATCTCAATGTCTACAATCACTATATTACTCTATAGCTTTCTATCTTATTAGTTTTTAATAATAAATGTTAATAATTTTAATTCACTTTTCTTTTTTTTATATTTATTAATATTTTAGGAGTAATAAAGTTTAGTTTGGTCCTTTTGTCCAAACCTTCTTTATTTTCATCTCTAATGTTTCATTCTACTAGAATTTTCAAAGAAAACCTTATTGTGATCATGCTTTACCTAAGACTTATTTATTTACTAGGATATACCCAAGTTAAAGTATTTAGGCAAACTAGCCATAATAATTTTACATCATTTTATCCATAGGCTCGTTAATTTATTTTCCTTTCTGGGGTCTTATATTACATTTAGCAACTTTTTAGTAGCATTAAGTGTCACTTCTATTCAACCATGTTCCAATTTTGTTTTAATAATAATGTTTTGAAATTATGTAAAGAAAGGCTGTATTTTTCACCACATTTATCCTCCACATTGGCTAAATTTTGGCTATGATGCTATTTTCAAGCCATTTAGTTAATACTGCTCTTTCTGTTCAATCCCATAGAAATTATAATCCAATTATGCACTGAACAGAAAGAGCAGTATTAACTAAATTGATTGAAAACGGCATCATAACCGAAATGTAGGCAATGTGGAGGAGAACAGGGTAATTTGGCTGATATTTATTTAATTTTAGGTTAATGATGCTAGGAAGAAAGTGGGCAGTACTTCTGGAATGCAACGCTCTGTTGAAACAAGTCAACTTTTACAGCACCGTGCTTCACATGTTGTTCCTCAAAGAACAGAACAAATATTAAAGGTAATGAAATACATTTTATCATTAAAATTTTTGAATGTGTTAAATAAAAATCAAAATTTATGTTATAATTGGAACAATCCAACCACCCTGCCCTGTATTTCTAAAATGCAGATAATAATAATAATAAGGCTTAGCGAACCCAAAGGTTTGATGCCGATACAACCAATCGATTTCCACATTCTTCCATCTACCGGGCTCCGTCTAAACCCGACCCCACCAAATCAACCTTAAGCCCAGCGATTTTACATGCCCATTTTATTCGCCTCAACCTAATCACCTCAATTATATTAACCAGATATAGTTCACGCAATTCAGCGTTGTGTAACTGCCTAAATTCTCCGGTTGACTTGCTCTTTTTCGGTCCGAATATTCTGCGCAATACTTTTTTTTTAAACTTTAAGACGTTGATTGTCCCTCAATGTAAGTAACCATGTTTTGCATCCTACCGTAGGTAGGATAATGGTTTTGTGAATTTCTAATTCTTAAGTTTAAGTTTCGGGACAGGAGGCGAAAACTAAGTAATTTTTACAAAGAAAAACAACAAGCATTTTCCGCCTTCAGCCTAAACTTTATATCCTCTTCAATTTCGTTTTTTCTAGTTACCGTAGACCCTAGATACCTAAAATTCTGTACGAATATAATGCAGATAAAGAAGAAAATAATCTGCCAACATGTCGCAAATTCAGGCATCACCAGGGTTATCCTAGAACATCTGTTTCTGTATCATGGAGTGATGTGATCTTGTTTTTTTCCTGCACTGATGAGGCCTGAATTGGTGAAACAGTGACATATTATTTGGTCTTTACCTGCATTTTAGAGAAATAAGGCTGTATGGTTGGATTTTTCCAATCATATTCTAAAATTTTCTGTTTTTATTGGGTTTTTACATGTTTGTATGAAAATAAATAGTTAATTGTTTTGGCAATTAAAAAAAATATGGAATTTTCTGTGGAAACTAATGTATTCAATGAATAATGAAAGTATAATCAATTAGTTTTACTATACGATAGTGAACAATCTTTTGGTGAGTTGCAGATTTTTTTTTAACCTATCGTAGGCCATCAATAGTCAATATTATCGAAATATCGATATTTTATGACCTTATTGGCTTAGTGGATAAAGTGGCAGTCTCCAATAATGAAGGTTCCCAGTTTGAAACTGCTCCAGAATATCGATATTTTCCTTCCAATATTAGATATTTTACCATTGATAGTATCTACTTCAATATTATCAACTATCGATATTGTCTCTTTAATATTTTAATTTAAAAATTAAAATTAAAACTATTATTTTCGGAAAGCGCTAGGAATTATATGAACCTTTCAGTTGACAAAATAACTAACTGTAATTTCAACATTTTTGATTATTAATTTTAGTGATATTTCTGGTGGAAAAATTTATAACTTTATTCACAGTTCTATATTTCAACACTGCAATCACCTACTAAGGAATCAACTTACTCACTGTCTGTATTGATATTATACATTTTCCAACTAGAAATATCACTGAAATGACTTTACTCAAAAATTTTCAAATTGGAGTTAGTCATTCTGTCAAAGACTCATATGAATATGATCATTAGAAAAAAATTATATTCATTTTGTCTGTTACATATAGAATGTTGTGCTTATTAAAGAAAAATATCGATATTTCGATAATATGCTGCAATCAATGGCCATCCTTCAGGAGAATTAAATAGTGTGCGTGGGACCCTGTTCACTCAGTGAACTCAATTTGCCCTGAATTTATTAGTTACCTTCTCAAATCAAGGCCATGAATTGTCAAAGAAATCTATGTAGAATGCTAATATAAATTAATGCAAAAATAAATTAGCATTTTGCTGAATCTGATCTAAGGGTGAATGGAAAGCATTATTGGTTGAATGGAAATTTCTGCAAAAAGGTGAGGATGAAGAACATGGACAGAAACTAGAAAATTAATTTTACTTAGGAGAGTAGGAGAATTGATATTTCCATTAATGAATTTACTTACTTACTTACTTAATCCATTCTTGTTTACCACTAAGCAGTGTGAGGCTATTATATATTTTTTCTTTTTTTCCCTAGCCTGTTATTATAAATATTTTGCAACCTGTAAGCCTTCTCTAATTAAGAGGGTGATGGTCTAATTTCTGTATTGGGAAGTAATGAAATGAAATGAATGAATGTATATTTTTATTATCCTGGGACTGTTGTCTCTTTTGAACAAAGTATAAATATTGATAAAATGCCTGTCTGGCCATAAATTAAATTAAATATTTACAAAATAATATTTAATTAAAAATAAAAATATCATCATCATATGTGGCGCGACATCCCGTCACCGAGACTGGGCCTCCTCCAAGAGCTTCCGCCAGTTGGCTCTTTCTTCTACTGCACCTCTTCAGTTCCGTACCGCAAGCAGGGTTCTCGCATCATAGGCCACGCTGTCCAACCATCTCGTCCTCAGCCCTCCTACCCGTCTTGCGAGGTGCAGCTCCTCCATCATTACTTTCTTGGGTATTTCAAAGGCACTCATTCTGGTCACATGCCCTGCCCACCTTAGTCTGGCAAGTTTAATATAGGTAACTATGCCGATTTCTGTATAAAGAAAACTGAGCTCCCTATTTTTTCTTTTCCTCCAGACATCACCCTCCTTTACTGGACCATAGATCCTTCTGAGGACTCCTCGCTTGAACACACTCAGCTTCATCTCATCACTTTTCGTCATCGTCCAAGCCTCTGAGCCATATGTCAAAACAGACCGTACAAGGGTCTTGTATATGATCAGCTTGGTCTTCTTTGAGAGATACATACTTCGTAAGTGCCGGCCAAGTCCAAAGACACATCTATTGGCAGCCGTGATCCTTCTCTGTATTTCTTGAGCCATGTCATTTTTGCTATTTATTTCAGACCCAAGGTATATAAAACTTTTTACTCTCTCAAACTTAAAAGAACCTACCTCAAATGGAGAGTTCACATCCACCTCACCACCAACTCTCATATACTTAGTTTTCCTCTCGTTGACTTCTAGACCAATTCGTCTTGCAGCTGCTTCAAGGGCTATAAACGTTTCTCGGAGAGCCCGTTCAGACCTTCCTATTATGTCGATATCATCAGCAAAACCAAGAAGCTGTGTCAGGCGATTGAAGATTATATAAAAATAAAAATATAGAAAGAAAAAAGAACAAAACAAAAACATACATATGTATATATACTTAACAAAGGAAAATAAAATAACATAAATAAACAGTGTCGTTTCTGGAGGATCTTAAGAAGTTCTCTTATGTACATTTCGTGATCAGTCAGATTGGGAAAGGAGCAGGTGCTTAAAAAGGAGAGATTTAAATGAGGAAACTGATTGTGCATGTCAGATATCGGAAGGGATAGAATTCCAAAAGGAGACGGCCTGAATTGCAAATTATTTGTCAAACACAGCAATTCGGTGAGGAGGGGATTGAATGGTGAATTTGAATTGTAGACGCTGGAGAATATAACTTCTAATGGCCTGGTATAGAAAAGTAGCTAGGAAATATTGGCGGCGGTAGGATGGATAGAGCCACTTCAACTCGGCGTAATACTCAGTAATATGCGGATCTCTTGATTTCCCAAAGATAAAGTGTATGGCCAAGATTCGATCTTATGATCTTTACTTTACTAGTATAGTGCGCTAACCACTCTGCTATACCGGCCCCATTATATTAATTAATTCAGAGAGGAAAATAACAATTTTTTTTAAAGAATCAATATTTGTATTGATATTAATATTTCAAAAATGTTTATAATATCAATGAAAATATCGACTATCGCTATTTTGATGATATCGATAGGTATATGCTAATATTAATGTTGATGACAATATAGATATTGGTTTTTTAATATTCCATTCTTAACCCATCATTTTTTGGGATGGATGTTTAAGATTTTTTTATTTGATCTGAACATATCATCTTACATTGGTGTATGATCAAAGTTATGTGTGGGATGGAGCTGAATTAAATTTGATGAACTTGTGTCAAATTATTTGTATTCATTGTCCCTAGCTGTTACAAATATAGCTTCGAATTTGAATAAATGGTTGTTTCAGTTTAATAATATGGGTGAGATCGTTAATGTAACCATTTTATAGACTTCTTAAAGCCCTAAAATCTCCTTTTTTTCTTTGAACTTTTCCAATTAAAGTCACCTATATATCCCAGAAATGATCATCTACATCCATACCCACATTTGAAAATTATTTCTAATAATGAAATACAGTTGATCCTATAAATATTTTTTTAAATAAAGACAGTAACTTGAACACTAATAACTGTTTTTTATTCAGTTGATTAATTATAGTAATTTATTTTTCAAATTAAAACCATAATTTTCTTTATGATTTCAGGCAATTAAAAATCATGATTTTGAAACATTTGCTGAGATTACAATGAAAGATAGTAACCAACTCCATTCAGTTTGCTTGGATACCTATCCTCCAGCAGTTTATATGAATGATGTTTCACACACCATTGTTGAATTTGTTCATTCATATAATAAAATTAAAGGGACCACTAAGGTATGTTCTAATGTTTAAATTTTGGTAATAAACTTAAATTTTATTTTTATGTTTATTTTTACATTAAGTTGTAATAACAATAAATATATTGTTTTTGAAACCAAAAATTTTGTATACTTGTTTTCATACGATGATTCCAATAATGCTATTAAAAGAGTCTATTTGAGGTAAATAAAGACATTATTTCTGAATTACCTGTTTAGAATGCTCAATGTGAATATATTAAATATAATATATTCACATTGAGTATTATTATATGTATTATTGAGCATTATATATTCAATATTTATACACTATATTATCAAGTTGAGTTTTTTGTTAAATTACTTTTTTTATTGACTACAGGAGACCCTAGTTAAGTGCTCTTTTTCTATATTTTTTTTTTTTTATAAATTTAAGTATTACTTTTAGCTGGCTTATACATTTGATGCTGGACCTAATGCCTGCTTATTCTTGCAAGAAGAAGATGTGGCTGAAGTTGTTGCTACTATTAAACAAGTATTTCCGCCTACCAATGAAAACAACTATATCAGAGGAATTAAAGTTCCAGAAAAGATTTTAGATAAGGTGAAAACTATTATTTATAAACTATGTTTTCCATAATCTTGTTGTAATATTTATATAATCTTGGGAAAAAATAAAATAAAAAGAACAAACTTTAGTTTGATGAAGATTGTTTAAATGTGTGTAGTAAAAGAAAAGCTGCTAAAGTAAAAGCTCTAAATAATTTGAGGGCAGACATTCTCGAATACTTCTGAAATTTAAAGAATGAAACGAAAAAAAAAAAAAACTGAAAAATAAAAAAGAGAGTATGTTAAAAATAAAATAATGGAAATTGAAACTAATAGAATCGAAAATAATGTAAGAGACATGTACAGAGTTAAAAACAGAACACGTAAATGTTTAGGGCCGATCACATCTGGAATTAGAGATGAAAATAAAAATATTCTGACCGATTGGGTAGAGATGTTAAATAGGTTTAAAAACTACTTTGACAATAATTTATATACAGGAAATAATGATCTGTGTCCAACTTTTGAGTACTAGAGTGTTGAACTGTTAATAGAAGAACCAAATAAAGAGGAAGTTGAAGTAGCTATAGGAAAATTAAAATCTTATAAACAAGTGGGAGCCAATAATATTTCCAATGAACTAATTAAAGCATGTGGGGAAGCTGGAGTTTCTAAAATACATTGATTGGTTAAAAAGATCTGAAAGAATGAGAAATTGTCTGAAGAATGGAAAGAATCTGTTCTTATTCCAATTCTCAAAAAGGGTCCGAGGACAGATTGTAATAACTATCGAGGAATCTCACTCCTTCCAGTGTGTTATAAAATATTCACATTAATTAATCCTTACCAACTGAATCATGGAATATGCTGAGGAAATTATCGGACCTATCAATGCGGATTTAGACAGAACTGACTATTGATCAAATATTTTCTTAACAGCAAATATTGGAGAAAAAATTAGAGTACAACGGTGTTGTTCACCAGCAGTATATCAATTTCAAAAAAGCTTACGATTCTATGAACTGCCAGAAGTTGTATAATATTCTTATAAAGCAGGGGAATCCAACAAAAACAGTAAATCTAGTTAGGATGTGCTTAACAGAAACACTCAATAAAGTTAGAATCGGTAATTATTTATCCAAAAAGTTTGTGGTTTGTTCGGGTTTGAAACAAGGTGATTCCCTTTTGCCTGTCCTGTTTAATTTGGCTTTAGAACATGTCATTAGGGAGTTGATGGGTACCGAAAAAGGGTTGGATCTGGGTGGGAATGATTAGGACCTGTTAAGCAAAGACATGGAAACTATAAAACTAAATACGACAACGTTAATAAACGCTGGAAAAGAACTAGGGCTCCAAATAAACACGGATAAGATAAAATATATAGTTATCTGCAAAAAACACATTGAGAAGTTTAGGCATCTAGGATCTACGATAACTAGAAAAAACGAAATTGAAGAGAAGATTAAGTTTAGTCTGAAGGTGGAAAATGCTCATTATTTTTCTATGACAAAACTACTTAGCTCGCACCTCCTGTCCTGGAACTTAAAAAATTATTTTATAAAACCATTATCCTACCTACAGTTCTTTATGGATGCGAAAAATGGCCGCTTACAATAAGTTAAATTTTTCACACACATTTTACAAATTTCTAATTATTTTTTTCTTTGTTTTGTAGGTAATTTAGTCATCTTTCTGATTACCATGGGTACTTTAAAAATGGGTCAATAAAAAAATGTATGCTCTTTGAGTTATTCGAAAAAAAGTCTCTTTTCCTTCATAACTTTTTTCTGAAAATTTCAGGAGGATAGGACTATTTTTTGCATGTGAAGGAGAAGAATATCTTCAAAATGAGTGGTCAATCATTGGATTAGATGAAGAATTGACGAAGTTATGGTTTATCGACAAAAAAACACCTTTTAGAAGTAATACACTGACAGGAAAAAAATTCCACCCACTTGATTTTTCCATGTTTTCATCTAAAAATATTTCTGTAAAGTTGTATTTGTATATAATATATGGTATTTGTAGATAATACTTAATATTTATGGAATTTTATAATCTGTTTTACCTTTAATAATCAAAATGTAATTGGGCAAGAAAGATTAGAGAAAAAAAAATTGAAAAACGAACCATTATTATTCTAAAAGAAATTAATTACATCATCGTTTAGTAGCGCGTGTTTCCTCCTCTTGCCTTCACTACTTCTTGAAAACGCCTCGGCATACTTTCCACCAGTCGGAAAATGTCCCTTTGCTGGAGGATAGCCCATTCCTCCCAAAGAGCCCTTTCAAGGTCCTGCAGTGTATCAGGAAGTGTTGCACACACTCTTATTCGTCTTCCGAGGTTATCCCATAAATGCTCAATGGGGTTCAAATCTGGAGAATGTGCATGCCAGGCTAAAATCTCAATATTGTTCTGTTGAAGGAACGTCTGCACTATGCGGGCGTGCATTAGAATAGAACGATCGCCGATTTCGTTGAGGATAGGCAACACATGAGGTTCCAAAATCTCATCTACATAGCGAATGGCCGTCAAAGACCCTCCACGAACAACAACCAATTCTGTGCGGCGCTCCATTGAAATCCCAGCCCACACCATTAAGGAACCACGTTGGAAAGGTTGGCTCTGGGAAAAATTACAGGCTGCATATCTTTTGTTTCTTCTTCTCCACACCCTTTCATGCCCATCTGGAGATCGAAGAGCGAATCTTGACAATTGTAAAAAGTACAGCACTCCATTCGTCCATAGTCCAATGGCTGTGTTCTCGAGCAAAAGCCAGCCGTGTTACTCTGTGAATTCTGGTCAAGTTCAGAAATTTGCACACCTCGAACTTCTTCGAGCTGATGAATTGCTTGAACAACGGTGAGGTGCCGGTTTCGTAAAATTCTCAAAGTCAAAAACCGGTCATCCCGTGGTTCTGTTACCCTAGGCCGTCCAGAACCGGGCCTTCTATTGCCTTACGGCGTCTCGTAAAGTTTCATATGGAACTCCGATGGCATTAGCTGCATAACTAATGGAACATCCATCATCAATAAGTGCCACACCACGCGCAACATCCTCAGCACTAAGAGGCATTTTTAAACTTAATATTGAAAAAATTAAAAGACGGAGACTAAGAAATGTGCTGCAAGAAACGGCACTGAACTAATGATACTGAATAAACATTTTGATTCCATAGAAAGTAAACATAGGAATCTAGAATCATTTCATTGAATTAAGGATTAAGGGTTATTGTCCTCTATATTAACATTCCTAATTGAAAACAAACAAAAAGATTACCTATTTATTCATTAAAACCAATAGACCCATCCAAAGCAGAAATAGTTTTAGATGAAAACATAAAAAAATCAAGTGGGTGGAATTTTTTTCTGTCAGTGTATATAGGATACTTGATGGTTGACCATTTTATATTTTTAAGGAAGATGGTCAGGGGTACCGGTCTTATAATGACTGAAATAGTGAAAAACTATTAAATGGCTAGAAATAAAAATTTTTTTTCTCACTATTTTAGTCTTTTTATGAACACCGCCTTGGAACATCTCCTTCCACAAGCATATTAATATAGTTTTGGTTTGTTTATATTTAGTACATCTTTGAAGTATGTAAATAATATACACAAAGTAATTTAGTTAAGGGTTAGTATTATATAACCCACCAAGGCGGAGAGAGGGGTAATAACAGAAAATAATTAATTATTAAAGATAGATATGAACATCCATTTATCTTAACTTGTAATTTTTATTGTGAATAGGATTTGGTACTTCCATCTGGTCCACAAGAAGTAGGTCGCCTCCGTTATATCATTCATACAAAGATTGGTGAAGGTCCATCAGAGATTAACGACCCTGAAGCTCACCTTCTTGATCAAACTGGCCTTCCGAAACAGAAGACTGATTAGATTTAAAATAGTTGTAATTTTTTAAAATTATTTATTACTATATTAATTATTAACACCAGTAGTACAATTATTCACGGGATGAAGTGTGCACATTTATAGAGTAACAATTCATGTATGTATTGTTTTTTATGAACATGAAATGTTTATATTTTGGTATGGAATTAATAAAACACAAGTTTGTATCATTTAATTCTTTTAATTAATCCTGATGTGCATTTTGCCTTCTGTACTGTTATTTCATGTTTTATTTCTTACGTTTGATACAGCAATCAGTTTCTGAAAGGCAGTTTTTAATGCATTGCTACCATTTTTGAACAGAAGTAATTAGTCTCTGAATATTGAAGCCATACAATTTTTAAACCTTAAAAGTTTTGTAATGGTTAATCTAAAAATAGATAATTATTAATGTGTACAAGAATTAGCACATTTTTCTGTAAAGTGAAAATTCTGCGCTGGATCATTTTTATTATTTTCATATTAAAAAATTGGTATTTCAGGTTTTATTGAGATACAGAAAGCTAATATCAATATTATTTCTTCAATAAAAAATACTTATCTCTACATCAATATTGGTTGGTCCACTTTAGCTATATTACAAGTACAATATTGAAACAAACAATATGAGGGTAAATATATTTTTTTTAGGAAGAAACAAGGTTGATATTAACCTTTTTACACGCCATTATTTCAGAAATGGAACATATATTAAACAATTTTTTTGTACAGCTTCATCATTATTTTTTTTGCAAAAATAATTTTTTTCCATAAAAACTAAAGTTGAAATAATTTTTTTAAATTTTTTCAATAAAGATTTTATCGCTTTTAGTTCAGCAAATAAAAAGTTAAAGTTTCTGGTTTTTTTAGTGTGGAGAGGTGTATTGATTTTTTTTTTTTTTTGGTTTAATACTACAGCAATGAAATTTAATTTGAATATTGATTTAATGATTGTGATAGCTTACTGAAAATAATGCATTGTAGAAAATGTAAATAAAAAAATTCTAAGAATCAGTTTTAATATTAATGTTCCAACTATGGAACAATGGCAGGCTCACACTATAGAAATGTTTGTTCAATTCATTGTTTCCTACCTTGTTTTCTTTGAACAAAACTGCATATGGAAATTCATAGAACTACTAATTGCTATTCTAAGATTTTTTATTTTTTGTATAATTCTTTACTGATAAGAGAAAAAACTCCTTCATTTTTTTTTAGTTTCCTAGAACACATATTATTGGAAATACAACCCCAAACATCCTTTGGTGTTAGTTTTCTCAGTCATTACTGTGTTCTTGTAGTGACAGCATCGCATTTCTTACTCGCATTTTATTATAATTAGGTAATGCGGGCTTTACCTCAGAAAGATGGTCCGCTGACAGGTCCAAACACTTTAATCCCTCTTAGCAGGCGTAAGGCAGGTGGACATTATATCATTTCAGCTTCCCAAGGAAGGTGTCTTCATTGTGGCACAAAATAAAAATGTAAAGAATGCCAGAAAGTCATTCATATTGATTCTTTTCCCCAATAGCACGGATTGTAAATCGTATTTTAGCATAAAACATTTGTTTTTTATTCCGTATCTTTACATACACATTTTCTATTATTTTACAAGTAATTATGTTTTACTATAATAATAATTTTTTATCAATATTATTAAAAACAACACTATTCTTGTATTGAATATTCTAATAAACTATTAAGAAAAAAGTTCTTTGTTTAACCTGAACCTGCCATTGTTCCACTTCTAGAACAAGTTGGAAAAGCACAAAGGAATTTTTTTTAAGGAGATTTAAAACAGGAATACAAATTTTTATATTGATTGAAAAATGAACATTTTATATTTTAAACTTTGTTTGGAATTTTTGTTTCTTTTTTGAAAATCACAAAAATTGTGATTAATTCAAGGACTTCACTAATTAAAAAATGAAAATTTCTAAATGTTCTTAAGAGTTGCAAGTTTTTTTTTTTAATGAAAAAAGTTGTGATAATTTCAACACTTCACACAAAAATGATTAAGAATTAAGGATCTTATCGACTGCACAAACCCGACCTCCATAAACAAATTAGAACCAAAGATGTTTAATTAAAGTGATAGGAAAGTTTTAATTTACAATATAAAGGCACTAAATCTAAAAGTTATAGATATGAGTTGGAAAAGCAGTAATTCAGCTTCTAATTTGCTTTAGAAACGTTGAATTTTTCGAAAATCCTGAGGTTACGAATACTTTAGTAAACTGCAGGAAAAAAAAATCCTGCATGAAAATGAATTCCTAAAATATACATTTTTTTATTTCTATAAAAAATTCATATTTAAGAGTTTTAAAGGATACTAAAAGCAAATGAAGCTTACTTTTTTATTACAAAAATTTACCTGCCATACTTCAAAGGAATTGTCTTTAGATTTTAGTAATTTCTGATACATTAGAAGTTATTGAATCCATTCAGTAATATTTCTTATTACTTTTCACAAAAAAAAAAAAAAAAATGATTAGTATATAATAACCTATGAATCATTACAAAGCAAAGGCATAAACCAATATAATTTTTTTTTAAATATTAAAAGTTTTTTTTCTCTGTTCCGAAGGACCATTGGAACGAACGCCAGAATAAATGTCCAATATTTTCAATGCAGTATCACAAAATTGGGTTGAAATTAGTGACCATCTGACCTACCCCCCTAGTAAGGCACAAGTTCCAGGTATAATTAAAACATTGTCAAATTATATTCATAAGATTTTGAAATAAGAAAAAAAGGAAATGGAAAATAAATACAACTATATAAATTAACTATTTATTCCCTAATGTACAATGAAACCATTTTTTTTTCTTCTTGATTAAATTTAACAAAAATTGAGAATCAATAAAACAATATATTTTGAAGTATGAAGATTCATATTATACAGCTCTATTGATGAAGTAATAATGTAACATTAAAGCTAGCTGGTGGATCCTTGTATCGGTTTAGCACTCTCTGAAAAAATAAACAACATAAGGAACAGCATTAATCACAGACATTATATTTTTTGTTGAATGTAAAAATGTAGAAGTAAACAAATAAAATATCCATAAATTTATAATTTTGCTCAGGTGAGGAAGTGATAGAAAATTATAGTTATAGAAGACCAGAGAACAGATTTTAAGACAATTTATATATTGTTTTCCTTTTAATTTTTGGTTTTCAATATTTTTTGACAATAGAAAACTATCTAACAAGGCTAAGAATGAGTATGTGCAGAATGTAATTAAGAGAAAGAGGCGTGTTTTCCAGCAGCGTTTTGAAATTGTTGAATGAACCATAGACTGCAGAATTCTCAGAACAAACTATATTAGGTCTTTAAACTGTTTCCCTAGGAACCATACAAGGTTGCGTTGACCATTAATCATTTGTCAGTTTGACTAGCATTATTATATATTAATTGATATTGAATAAATTGACAGTTATCTAGTATTCACTTACAAAAGAAAGTGGGGGAAATGGGAATAACGTCTATTATGAAGGTTTAAAGAATCAATTCACTTATTGCTAAATGATAGCAACTTAGAAAATGTATAGCAAAAAAATAAATAAAATAATTGGTAATGTGTAAGGTGAAAAATTATTTCACCTTAGGTAGATGTAGATGTCTGGACTTAAAATTAAGATCACACACAAGCATAGAGAATTACAATTAATTTGAACAGTGTTAGTTTAATAATAAAGACAAATTTTACATGTCTAAACGATTACGAATCATTGTTTAGAAATATAAAATTTGTAATATCATTTGTAAAATCATTAAGTTTAAAACCACAAAGACATTTGATTAATGAAAAAACTCTAAATGAACTACATCATGAACACATGTTAAAATATTAAACAATCAATAAACAAAAATCGAAGAATTAGCTTTCAGCCAAACAAAAGGAAATATTTTACTTCAACTTTTTTTTTTTTTTTTTTTTTTAATTTGTAGGAATATATATTAACTGTGGACAAATGAATAAAACAAAAAGTAAAATGTATTTATATTTATTTAATATTATTGGAATAAGGCAAGTATCTAATAAAATTAATGTTATAATTGTTATTGTTAGAAAATTCAATCCTTAGAAAAATCAAAAAATGATTAAGATATCACACCATTCACAAACCAGTAACTTACAAAAAACAGCCCTTAAGGCATCTTAGTCTTTATGATCTGAAATTAAAATTATAATAAGTAAAAGAATATGTAGTGATAGAATTACATCATATTATATTTGACAGGTATTTCCTAAGGATAAGTTTCACCAAAGGATGATGGTATGAGCCGTTGAATCCAAAAGTGGTATAAACCATTTTCATAATAAATAATTAATCAATTACTGAGCACTTAACTTCATACTTTGAAATAGTTGGAGGCTTGAGACATAGCATTTTAACAGTAAAAATAAGCTATCATTCCTAACCAATTATTATTCCATACTACCTTTACAGTAACTTCTCCTAAATATATCAAACCTTCAGTTTTTTACTTACACCACTTTGTATTCAACAGTTCATATTTCAAAACTTATCACGATCAAATGATTTCAAAAGCTATTTTAATATTATGGCAAACTCCCCAGTTCACATAATGACACCTTTTACAATATTTTGATATAGCAACCTTATCAGATTTTTTTGTTTGTTTGTTTTAATTTCACACTACCATTTAGGATTATATTAATTTAGTTCTTTGTCCTAATGCTATTCTGATTATCATTATTCTTTAACAGTTTAAATTATTGTACAACATTACCTTACGAGATACAAATTATAGAACATTTGTAACATTAATAAAAGAAATGTAAACTTATTTAATAGAAAAATTAACTGCAAAACAGTTGTAAAATTAAATACAGTGTAAAGAGTTTTTTAATATGAAACCATATCTATTTGATAAAACTGAAGAATGCAACAAGTGTTTGTCATAAACACCTACATTTATTGGTTCTATATGTTGGAATGTAAGTACTATACAACCCGGTCATGTAGCTAGATTGTGTGGTGCATCAGTGTTATAATTAAAATGATGGTGGCTATCTGGGTATAGCTTAATAACATGAATAGGTCATATTTCTTGTACATTATATATATATTAAATTGTTAATATATAACATCTGAATTGTTTATCAAGGGCTGCCACAAGAATGCTGCATGCCCCCACTCTATTTAAAATATATCTTGGCAAATGCCTAAAAGGATGGATGAAGAAATGTGGGAAAATGGGTGCATCGAGTTAAGAGAAAAAATGTATGCCATTTACTATTTGCTGATGATTAGGTATTAATTGCATAAGATGAAGAGGACATAAGCTACCTATTGAGAAAAATAATAGATCTTATGAACAAGAAGAACTCAAAATAAATTAAAAGAAAACTAAATATATGTGCACTGAGAAAGAAGAGAGCCGACCCAATATTATACAACCTAAGTTGAACAATTTCGTTATTGAAAGTAATGGTAAAGGAGAAGCAGAAATAAAAAAAATATACCACAAACGTTAAACAAACAGTGGAAATGCTTAACTCTATACTTCGGAGCAGTAATCTTTTAATAACAACTAAAGAGTTAATATACGAAGCTGTGGTAGAAAGCTTTATGCTACATGGTTCAGAGACATGGTCTCTCAGTATGACCCACTGAAAACAAACAAATTCCTTCCAATTGAAATGGATTTCAGGAGAGCAGCAAGGATATTCAGGATTGATAGGTTAATCTGTCACCTATTTTCTCTTGAACCCCGTAGGCTCCTAGTCACTTCCTTAATATTTCCCCACTTTGACTATTGCTATACAGTATACGAGGGCGTCTTTGGGGATCTCGAAGTGAAACTAAAACGTTTGATAAATTGCTTTATATGATTCTTCTTCGGGATCCCACGGGACGCCTCTGTCCCATTTTTATGCAGAGTTCAAATGGCTTTATTCTTCCTACTGTTGTATTTCCTAACATCCTTTCTCTTTCAAGTCATCCAATCCCGCCGTCCTTCATACATCTCCGAACACCTTCAATTCAAATCCTCTGTTCGTACCCGGTCTTCAGATTTATACACAAGGGCCCAGCGAACCGCTGTTTTCGACAGATCGTTCATTATCTGATCCTTATCCCTTCCCACATTCCCCACTCCAATACCTTTCCTACCTTTAAATCCCGCCTGTTCGATCATTTCTTATCATTCCACTCCCCTTAAAATTGTAAATTAATACTCCTGTAAATATGTATATAAATTATTAGATCGTCCTTAATTTTTTTTTTACTTCAGATTTTTTTTATTTTCTATTATTAACTGATTAAAATTAAAAAGTAACTTATATAGTTTTTATTTTGACTATTTAATTATTCTGTATTTTTGTTTATGTATCTCTGAGGCTCCTTAGCCCATATTTATGTATTATTCTAAAAGGACTCGTCCCAGAATAAATAAAGTATTATTATTATAAGGGAGTGATTGGAAATAAAATAAAATACCCTAGAAGTGATGAAAGAAAGGAGACTCAGATGATATGGCCAAATGTGTAGCGAGAGAATACCAAAGATAATTATAAATTGGGAGGCAGAGGGGAGAAGGAGAGGAAGACCCTCAGTTAGAATGGATAATAGAGAGGTGGAGGGAACTGCTGAGGATGGAGTTTGGTTGAGGAAAGCTATATGTTGAAGATATTGCTAAGGAAAAAAAATTATATATCATAAGGGATAGATAATTATAATATAAATATGTATTACTTTCCCTTCTGATAAAATAGAAAAGCACAAATTATATATTAAAAAAATCATAATTCCAAGGGAATATAGGTAAGCCTCTGCAACATATTTAATTAAAAAATATATGTAAAACTTACTAAAGGGTAAATAAAACTTACTGATTGGCTTTCCATCCTTCCATGGAGTAAATCGTACATGTGACTCTTCTCTTTTGAGAGCTTCAGTTTTTACATTTGGTTTCAATGATTGTCGAACAACTCTAGCAGCAATGTTTGAGTATTGGATATAGCTAAATGAAAATTAAAAAATCAGGTATAACTAGAAGATAACTTAGAAATACTAGGGTAGTAAGAACTTGTTAATTTATTTGTTGATTAGAACATGAAACAGAAATTCCAATTACAGAAAGGATTTAATTTAGAACATTGAGACACATTTCCAAATTAGTTTTACATTATAATCTAAAATTACAAATTGTTTGGGCATGATCCCATTCTACAATGAAGAACTAAACTTTTTCATACTCTTTACCATTAGATCATTTGACTTAATGTTATTTAGATCCCCCTATCAATGCCCTAATAAAGATAATGCAAAAAACTAATCTTAATTTAAAAAAATCTATTAACAATTTAAATTTTTAATATCAACACAAAACTAATTGAATAATTCGTAAATGATAGAGTAAGTTAGAAATAAAAGATCTTATCACTATAAAATTGAACATTAGGTGTAGAGTGATAACAGTGTTAGTTATAATCTTATAAGGTAGAAACTTATGACAAATTAAAAAATCATGTAATTGAAATCTATAAAATATTTATCACAGAATAAATTACAATAATTGCTAGTAAAATAGAAATGTGACTGATTAATCATTATAACCTAATAAACAATTTCTAATTTATCAGAGGGTATTTCATATAAAATTTCATAAATGTATATAGGAAACAGTTAAATACACTAATATAACTAACTATACAAGCTTTAACGATTTGCTTAAATTAAGAAATTACAGTTATCTAAAGTTTGAGTAAAAAAATAAATTATTATCACAATAGATTTAAAGCAAAAAGTATAGCAAACGAAATAATATAAAATTTAACAAATACATACTTGAGACCGGCAGCTCTCCAGGCAGACATTATAAAAAGATTAAGCTGAAAAGTTGGAATAAAACCTCAGTGAAAACTTTTGATAGACCGTCAGCTGTAAAAAAATCAGCTGCCTGTATAATCGACATCAATAATCCCAGTTAATCAGGTTCTGATATACAAATAAATAAGAACCATTATATTGAAACATATTAATATTATATTATAGATTTTGTATCCAATTTATATGAAATAATATTTTTTTGATTGGCCCTAAATCTAAAATCAAATTATATTAAAAGACAGTTTACAGTAATTACTCAAAATTCGCGGGTTTGACATCCGCGAATTTTGATTTTACGTTAATAAAAAGTTGTAGATGAATTCAACATTAGCAAATTACATATTTGACATTTCATGAATAAAGAATATATATCGCGAGTTTAAGCAATTTAAAGTGCATTATTTACATATTTATAGGGAAGGGGAGTATCCAGCATGAGGGAAGGAGACAGTTATTTTAAAGGAGTGGGAATTAGCCTTTATTTCTTCATTAGGTTCTTTCAGAATGCTGTGGAAATAAAGATAGATATAGGCAGATAAATAATTATCTACAACCTTATCACTGTTAATAAATTTTTATAAAGTCAATTTTATATTAATTGCCACTACATTTTGTGTAATTGTTTGGTACAGAACTATCTTTTGAATTGATCGCTTATGTACCCACTTCTTTTTTTTTTGTTTGTTCTTCCCTACCTCGCCTTTTAGGCTATACGGGAGTTTCCCGGGCCGGTGGGTGAGGGCGGGGAATTTAAAATCCCCTCCGACACCAGGACGCGAACTCGTACTTTCTAAATCATCTCAAATCTCTGTTATCCGATTGCCAGGCAACTAGCGGTGCTGTGCACACGCTTTAGCCCATTCGGCCACCCCGCGCCCTTAACTCACGTACCCACTAAAACCATCTCTCTACACCAAGTGCAGACATTCGGCGCCTCCGGGCAAAGACGTCACTCTCCCCCTAAAAATCTTGAAGTTATTCCTTAAGTTTTTTTATATTATGCAGTATTTAAATTTTATTTAATTCAATATTTCTGCAATACGGTTGCTTTATTAATAGGCTAAAATTAATTATTTAAATACGTTCCGTATTTTGTTTTTTGATTTCTCACAAGAGGCGAGTGCCCCTGATGTTCGGCGACCAAGAAGGGCGCGCCCCAGCAGGTCGGTATCCCACGGCAACTGCTCAGGTTGCCAAATCCTAATTCCGGCAATGCCTACACCCAGTGGCGGAGCAGGAATTTTCTCAGGAAGAGGGGAGGGGAGCGCATCCACCACTCCTTGTTCCCCCACCACTACCCATCTCCCCCCACTCCTTGGCTAAGTTTAGCGGCTCAAGTCCTCTTTAAATGGTTTTAACTCTATTTTATTTTAAGCATTTTTTTTTCTAGTTTACAGTGAATCAATCGTTAATAACTTAAATTAAATAATTGTTTAGTTATTACTTTCTATTAAAAAAAAAAAGTGACTCATAGAAAGAATGCACCAGCCTAATGGATCCGCTGGTACTTTTCACCATAATAATTTTTTTTTATTCGTCTTAGATGATGAGTTTTTCCTGTATTTTTCTTTCTTTTAAATAGCTGTTATATAGAAATTGTTAATTATTTTTCGCGAATTATTAAAATCCTGTGAATTATTTTTCACGCCGGGCCTCCAGGCAGAAATCACTTATGCTGGTCACAATAATAATTTTTTATATATTACAGCGCGCTCTCAGCTGGATCCGCTAGTGCCTACAGCGTAGGTATAGAGGGTGAGAAGTAGGTGTAGGCCCCACGGGCGGATCTACGGGGGGGAGGGGAGCTTTCGGCTCCCCCCAAAATGGCAAAATATAACCATGTTTTATGGAAAAAAATTATCTCTTAAAGTATAATTGTTCGTGTAATTACATATAAAAGGACTTAAGTAATCACTTAAACACCATTTCATATAGTTAGTTTCTTTCTTTTTTTCCAAAGTAATTATCGTAATTTTTATGAAAAAAAAAGCTTTCGGGCTGAAGCCCCCCCAAAATTAAATCCTGGATCCGCTGTTGGTAGGTCCTACACCTACTTCTCACCCTCTATGGGACCATCGTTGGCACGGGCGGATCTACGGAGGAGGGCTTTCGGGCTGAATCCCACCAAAATGGTAAAATATAACTATGTTTTATCAAAAATATATTAAAACATTATCTCTTAAAGTATTATTGTTAGTGTTGTTACATTTGAAACTACTTAAGGAATCACTTAAACACCATTTCATATAGATAGTTGGCTTCTTTCTTTTTTTCCAAAGCAATTATCGTCATTTTTATGAAAAAAAAAACTTTCGGGCTGAAGCCCCCCCCAAAATTAAATCCTGGATCCGCTAGTGATCGTTGGGAATTATATTATTGATTAGGAATGGCTGTGTGCCTCTTGGTTCGTCTTTCCCTTTTCTCCAGTCCTCATTCTGATGATGATTTGAGATGTTTGGGGCAAACTGCCATCCAGCACACCTGGGAAAGAAGTATCAGTCTCATGATATCATCCACAGTCGGTTAGGAGTCGAATTAAAAAACTATCGTACTTCAATAGTCCAATATTAATAACATTTTTTATCAATTAATTCAATGCGTTTTTTTCTTATAAAATTATCTCTCTAAAAAATTTAGTATTCAAAGGTTGGCACTCAATTTCTTTCCTTCTTCTTATAATCAGAAATGTGAAAGTAATCTAAAATGTAACTTATTCTTAAAAACGGGTACTGTTTTAATGAGTTGGGAAAATCAATCAATCAAATTAGATATGATTAAATTATGGTAGCAGGATTTTTAAGGTTTGGAACCAATTCCTGTCAAATCTACTTTATTATTTTATAATTAGTCCACTGCCCTGCTCTTAATTACAGCTTGTAAGTTAAATGTTAATGATGTTTGTTATTTAGTTTTACTAACTAAACTATGGTTCACATTCTTAGTGATAAGAAATTTTTCTTTTATGGGACTGTTTTGTAAATTACAACTAAATTTTATGATATGAACTGATTTGTTTTTTCATTGCTGAAGGAACATTTAGAATTATAATTTCAGTATGGATATGATTATTTTATATACATTGATACATGTATTGGTTTTCTGATCCTTTCTTACTTCAGAAAATAATATTTTAAAAAGTTATTAAAGCTATTGACTTCACTTTAAATGTTCTTGTTAGGTTTACTGAATTATTTTCGTTATATTATATTTTTGCCTTTTTTTATTTTTGTTGGAAGAGCTGTATATTTTTGTAAAATCCTACAAAATATGGTAATTATTTAAATGAGGACTTCATGGACTATGTGTGTTTCACAATCACTTCAGTCGCACTTGTTCATAAAACGCCAATAAAGCCTTTCGGATAAACCCAGATGTATTTGGCACTCCATGAACAAGTGTGACTGAAGTGATTGTGCACTACGCATAATCTGTGCGGTCCTCATATAAATAATTAACAAGTATTTTATTTTGGAAAAGTTCTTTTCTACTCTGAAATTTCTTGTCTAACTGAAACATCTTGAATACTTGCAAGTTTTATTTCATAAGCTTACAGTACTTTGTATACCTCTAAAGTAAGTAATTTTACATTGTTCTTTTCAGTTTGAGAATAACAGTTTACAAATTTCTAGCATTTAGAAATATATCTGGCTAAAGCTCTGGTTTTGTATAAAGGTAAATTACTCAAAATGTAATAAATTTGGCAATTCAATGAGAAATGTTTTGTTAATCATTGAAAGTTCTCTTTAAACTACTTCAATTTTAAATTATTATTGGTAAATTATTATTATAGTAGACTTTTAGAGCTAAAAAACAGTTTATATAAACTATGTTCTGATTTTGTGCAGACAAGCAGGAAACTTAAGTTTTGAAGATCTGGGTTTCCATTGGTAAATATTAATAAAGTCTAATATTACCTAATAAAGTTTTCTGTTTTTTTAAGTAATTCAAGGTCTTGCTTATATGAAGAGATGAATTGATAATTATTTAATTTATGTAATTAATAATTGCTTCATATTATACTAGACAAAGTGTCATTCAAAAACAAGTAGAGTTTGTCTTTGTCAAAACCATTTAGAGGTGGCTTTTGGGCTGCTAAATTGTTGTTGCTAACGCTAAGTTGTGTTTTTCATATAATCATGGAGTATTCATGATTTTTTAAAAATCATCCTACAACTGAGTGGCAGATACTCTACTTATATAAAAACTTTCTTGTTTAATAAACATGAAGTCCATATCAATTTAGTTGAGATTTGTTATAGAATAGAGTTGAGGTTCACCTCTTGTTCTGTGAAGAATTATGTAATTTGATATTAATAATGACATTAATAATAACATACTAAATTCAAATCAGAACTACCTATGTTCTATCCAGAAAACATCAACAAATAGATATAATGTTCCAATTCCAAGTACAAATCAATATTAATATTTTTCTCGGATGCCATATTTATTAGTTATGAGAGGAGATCAAATTTTTATTTAGTGAGAACTTCTGAAATATGCAATTAAATTGTTCTGAATTCAATAGCTCCATAGTTACACTGGATTTTTTATGTACCTGATATTAATGTATTATGAAAAAAAAATTCCAATTCTATAATAATACAATATGTAATGCAGTGAACTTTTTCTATACCACATTTTTACACAAAGAAAATAAAAACTTTTTTTAACTTGTAAAATCAATAACTTAGAATAATTTAGTTTTTAAGTTTTACAAATTAAATAAACAATGTATTTATAGTTTTTCTTTCTTTTTTATTTATTTTTTTACTCTTTCAATTAAAAGTATAAGTAAAAATGAAAAGTTTAAAGCTAGTCAATGAATGAACAATAAACTAAAATAAAACAAACTTTTTAAAATGAATATCAAGGGATCTTGTTCTTTTTTAAAGGTTTAATATTAATATATCATAATATTGTTTTCTGTTAGGTCTAAAAGCAGTTTTTTCCCTGTATATATGTATTCTTTGAAATTAAATTTGGTTATAATGAACTACTGCTATGTGGTGCTACAGACCGGTGTGGTCCTTGATCTTGCCAATGCTCCTTTGCTTGGGAAATCTATCCTGAGCAACCTCATGCCAGCTGTGGATGGCCAGCAGGTCCCGGGTTTCTCTCGCTACTCTATCCTTCCATCCTAATCTAGACATGCCTCTTCCTATAGTCCCATACAGGCTTTCATTGAACAATTTTCTTGGGATCTTCTCTACTGAGATTTGTGGAATGTAGCTAGGATAACATAGTCTGCCTGATCTTATATACACCATCAAATCTGTCTCTCCGTAGAACTCATAAACCTCTGCATTGGTTCTTATTATCCAATAGTTACCCTCCTTCACAGCTATAATATTCAGCAAAGGATTTTCCTTTCAATAATGAGAAGGGCCTTTTTCTTAAAACTTTTGAGAATCCAGGAATTTGAACTATAAG